TGCCTCATACTTTACCACTGAATTACAGCCCCAGAATGGAAGGGGTTTAAGCAGGTCAGAGAGCAGTGAGAAAGTCCAAGTGAGTAGGCTAGGAGGGTGGGTCAGTAAGACCCATCAATGAGGGCTAGCAGATGTTATCTGCCTGGTCATTTTATTCTGGGAGCCTTAGGCTATGATCTGTCAGCTCTCCCCACACCATGGAGCCATCAGGTGCGAGCACCTGCAAGCAGTTACTGCTCTGGAAAGTCAGAGCCCTGTGGGAGAGCTACCTAGAATTGTGGGGAAAACAGCTTGAGGGTTGGTTTTGGACAGCCTGCCCACTATGGCAGATTCTGGAAAGTAGCTTTGGCCGCGGGGACCTACGGGCACTAACCACAGCAGTGCAGGCCAGAGTCTAGACTGGCAAGTGCCTTACTCATCTGCACGTTATAATCAGCCACCACTGAGCCCTCCCTGCTAGACAGCGTACACACATCAGCTTCTCCCCAAACGCATGGGGACAAGAGCCATAAACATAAAACTGGCTAATAAATAGAATTTGTGATTTCTTGTTTTGTTTTCTTTTTTTGGTCTTTTTCGTTTTTATCGGTACCAGGGATCGAACTCACGACTGCCTGCTTGTAAGGCAGGCGCTTATGCCGCTGAGCTAAATCCCCAGCCCGAATTTGTGATTTCTTACTAAGCCAAATGGAAGAAGAAAAATATACCATAGTGGATAGTCTTCTGTTAGCTCTGATTTATAATCTCTCCTCCAAGGAAATGAAAAGTATATTTTCATCAAATATAGTCATATATATCTTCTAAGGGAGAGACAAACTACCATATGACAATTACCTGGGCAGGCAGATAAAACTGGAAGATGTGTCCTAATAAAGCAAAAACTCTGCTAGCAGCCACCCTGAGGCATGTCCTCAGATGTTTTCTTCCTTATGAATTATTCTTCAGGCAGAAGCAAGAATTCCATATAGCCTGGGTTTTTATAATGGTGTGGTCTGTGGCCAAGGACATCATTCCAGAAGATAGGAAGGGGCCGCGCCAGTGCCCACAGGCCCCTGACAGCAGCCGTGAAGGCTGCAGCATCAAGGCCCACGTGGGCAGGTTTCTGATGACCACCAACTACTACCTTGCCTCCCCGCTGGCTCCGCTTGACTGAGTTTCACTTTACTCAAGATGAGGGCGGCAAAATTCATTAGATACGTGGCCAGCTCATACTGCCTGGTGCACCTGCCCCAGACAAACAGCTTAGTCACTCTGGCGACAGAAAGTAAATGAGAGAATATACTTAAGATTTTCTGGGGTCTCAGAGCTCTTGTCTCATCCTGTCAAAGAGTCACCGAGTAAACCACCACATATATATGGTCCCAGATGAAACTTTCTTGTCTTTCTGGTATTTGGACAAAGGAGAAGGGCTTTGCTGGGATCAACTACAGGCTTATTCTTCATTCAACAAACATTGAAGGAAGCCACAGTGCTAGGTGCTAGGTGACAGCAGTGAGCAGGACAGACTATGGTCCCATACAGGTGACTTTCTGCATGGGGGAAAATGGTTATGGGCAGCAGGTACATGAATATGTCAGCTGGGCAATGCAGTGCCGTGGAAAAATAAAACAGGCAAATATGGTGGAGGGGAAGCATGACATTAGCCAGTGGGGTCATAAGAAAAGATATCTTGGGGCTGAGGATTTAGCTCAGCGGCATAAGCGCCTGCCTTGAAAGCAGGCAGTCGTGAGTTCGATCCCCGGTACCGATAAAAATGAAAAAAAAAAAAAAAAAGAAAAGATCTCTTGGGGAGGAAGCACACGGGCTGGGCTTGAGCAATGAGTGGGATCTGACAAGAGTATCTAATGCCAAGGCCCTGGGGGCAGGAGAGAGCTCAGTGACCCAGGGCAGTGGTTCTCAAATGGAGCTTTGGGAATCCTGGTTTTCCTAAAAATAGTAAGACATAATTCTTTTATATTCATTTTCCCAGGAGTGCACTACAGAGTTTTCCAGAGGCCACATAATGTATGCTATCACAACAGACAGAAAGCAGAGGTGGAAGAGAATCCAGCTGCTTTCTATTAAGGCAGACATTAAAGAGATCTTCAAAAATGTAAAATCATTATTTTTGTTTTGGAAAAGTTATTATAGAAAACCATGCTATTTATGTTTATTTACAATAGATTTATTAGATAGTTATTGAAAATATTTCTTGGCTTTAATTTCTAGTACTATGAATACTGGTGGCTATAATCCACACAATGAAGTATTATGCTTCAGAGCGGGAAGGGGCTGTGAACTCACAATCACGATCAGGGCCGATGTGGAGCAGCAGGGCTGCCGGCCAGGGCGGGGATGCATAAATGTGGGAGAACCATGTTGGGGGAACTGTGGAGGCTGGCTGGGGCCACATCTCACAGTGATCATATAAGACAGAGGGGGAGATGTGAATTTTGTACTAAGTGCAATGGGAAGTCACTGCAAGGCTGGAGGGAGGGTTATGACACAATCTAATTTATGGCTTAGAAAGGGTCAGTTGGCTGAATGGAAGGGGGAGGACAAGACTGGGATCCAGGAACACTGAAGATGCTGCTGTCATCATCTTGGGGAGATCTGGACTGCAGAAAGAGGGGGTAAGTTCTGGAGGAGGGCAGGCAGGGAAGTGGGGGTGAGGAGAATTCAGGGTGGTTCCAGATGCCGAATGGCAGCTGCCATGGGGCTCTGACTACCATGTGAAGAGGGTCACTGCCCTCCTCCTGAACCTACACTGTACCCACCCTGACCTACACTGGCACTTCCATATGTTCTTCAAGCCATGCAGTAATGCCAACCCATGCCAGGAGGGCAGAGAGACCTCACAAATGAGAATGTCCCCACCCAATTTCCCACACCTCAATGGTACTTCTACTGAGAGTCCAGGAGAAACCCAGTCAAGGGTTTGGACAGCTACCTTAGCAACTATAAGTAACTTGCTGGAGTCCCAACTGGCCCAGCCTCATATTCCCTAGTCCTGGAGCCAGCTACAGGGTGCTGGGTGTCCCTGTTGTGCCAACCCCTTGGCCTGAAGATCTCACATTTCCAGGCAGGTGGAAGAGGTAAGTAATAGATCATCATCACTGTAATGCATTCTGCCAACACAAAAATGCCCATGTAAACACTGAAAAATGTGACACTTAGTTGTCTGTTTATATGCATTCCAACTTGTTCCAAAAAGGATTAGAGTGGAAATAAGGTCTGGGCTTTTCTCCTTCATCATTAAGTTCTGCAACTGAAAGAGGCTCCATGACCCAAAAAGAATTTCTTACCAGGTCTTTCTGTGTTTAGTTTAACTGAACTTATAGTCATAATTTATATTTATTGAGTAGGTATCACTAGAGAACACAAAACAACCTGCAGAACTTTTAAGCAAAAAGCTCTCTAGCCCTGGACATCATCTGGAGACAGAGATGGGGCTGCCATCAATCGTGTGGCCTGGGGTTCATTTTCAGAATGACAGCACCGAGAGGCAGTGGATGGCACAGTAAATGGGAACCCTTAATTTTTTTTTCAGAGTTCATGCTGGGACTACATCTCTCAGGATTAAAAATCTTCCCTTTGACTTGGTAGATCTACTGCTGGGAATTTATCTTACAAAATATGTAAGATTGATACAATTACACAAAAACACCTAAATAAAGGATGCTGATTTTGACACCATAAGAATAAAACCCTAGAAATGACCCAAATGTTTACCACTATAAAACATGTTTTAGTTTGTCTATAGAGTCAAACACTGTGCAACAGTTCATGAGAATGAAGTGGGTTGTATGTGCCAGCATGTAACGCTAACTTGGAAATGCAGAGCCATGGTACAAAACCACATACATGGTATTGTATACCTCCATGTGTGAAACAGGTGTGCAAAAACACATATATGACATACAAATGCTTCTGGAAGGCTATGCAAGGAACAGTTAGTTGATAGTGGTTACTTTTGGAGCCAAGTAAATATTTTCTTTTTTTTTTCTACAAAAGACCAATCTTCAAAATATTTTCATTTTAGCATGTCTTATTTGGATTTTTAAAAAAACCACATGCTTACAGTATATACAAGATAAATTAATCAAATCAAAGGATGAGAGTAAAATAAATCATGGAAGAAAATAGATCTGGATTCAGGGTAGGTTCTTACAGCTGCACCTTGTTTTTAAATCAACAATGGCTTTTGAGAGTGTTTTACAACATCTGCAGTTCAAGTCTGAACCCTGAACGTGAGGGATTAAGTGGTGGGAAAGAGCTTGGCCGGTTTTCGACATTTTGCAATGGAAGGAAGGACTCTCTTTTGAGGGGCCAAGGGATCAGCAGTATATGGATGTCCTTAAGGTCCACAAGGTGGAATAGGAAGGAGGGATGCTCTTATGGAGATGCAGTGTTTTTTGCTTTGCCAAAGTGACATTACACTTTCCATTCGAGTTTCCCCTTTGTGAGGAGTGCAGGACAGCTCTAGAGAAAGTGGTATGGAAGGAAGGGAGAGAAACTGGGATGGAAGACAAGGACAGCTGGTGGGCACAGCTCATTTCTCTAGTGATTGTAGGAGGAATCACACACAGTATGTCATTTTTTATTTATTTATTTTTTGGTACCAGGGATTGAACTCATGACCTTACACTTGCCAGGCAGGCGCTTATGCCACTGAGCTAAATCCCCGACCCCTCCTTCTAGTCATTTTGCATAGAGGAGGAAATTAGTCTCCTACAACCTCATTACAAATAATACAATTATTTCCAAGAAACTTCTTGGTCTTAATTTTGAGAGGTTTCTCATATACCACGCCCCACCCCCAATTCTCTGGAAAAATCAAACTGAAGGGGGTAAAACACTAAAGGGAAAGCCAAGATTTATTTTTAGAGCTTATGTTTGTGTTATGCTTTCATTCTAAGAAGCAGATGCTTCGAGCTGCTAGCATTTCTCAGAGAGAAAGGGCAATGTACACAGGCCCCACAGAGAGAAGGTCCCCAAATCCCCATCGTGAGGGGGCTTACCTGGCACCTTGTCCACAGATGCGAACACAGAGCGCTGCACTGTGGGGTCACTGCTGCCTCGGCGGCCCTGATCATAGAAGCGGAAAGGCAGGTGCTGGGTGGAAGCGGAAGTGCCGAGTCCAAATCCCAGGACTTCAGTTGTTGGCTGGATTGGGAGGTCCAGAAGTGCTGTAATCAAACAATAGTCCAGCTCATCAGCTCATGGATTGCGGATGGCAGGGAATAACACTTAGGGGTGGGCTGCCGTGGCTATAGTTCAACCATTTGTGGTACCTGGGAGATGCCAAGCAGATAGCCTTGATCTGGGGCAGTAGGACGCTGAAGATCCCACTGAGGCTCAGAACATGAAACAGACCGCTGTCTAATGAGGGATTCAGGCCAAGGTTGAGACCAAGGGGAGAGGTTTCTAGGCCTGGCACTTCAAGCAGAATGGATGATAGGCCAATTTATATCTTGAAATCTTGGGTTCCATGTATAGAGGACTCTTGCCAATGGCTTAGCTTTTAGTGGGGTTTAGTGCTTTGGGGTGTCAGACTCCAAAGCATGTAGAGGTAATTCTGCCCTGAAAAATTATATACATATATATAAATGACCCTCATATCTGCAGGGGATTGATTGCAGAACCTCTGAAGGACACCAAAATCTGTAAGTGCCCAAATTCTGTATGTAAGATGGTCTGGTATTTGCATGTAACCTATAAACATCCTCCCACACACTTCACATCATCTCTAGATGACTTATACTCAATATGATGTAAATGCTATGTAAGTAATTGTTATATTGGCTTATTTAGGGAATAATGACACACAAAATCTGTGCATGTGCAGTACAGACACATTTCCCCCCAATATTTCACCCCTGGTTGGCTGAATCCAAAGAGATTAGAACCCACAGAAATGGACAGCCAACTATATATGTACATGGGAAACGTGTGAGAAAAAAAATATACACAATGTATATTTGTGAATGTGTATCTATCACAGCTGCTATCCTCCTTTCCATAAACAAATCTCATGATATATTAGTTCAGAGGGGCTTTTTAAAATCAATTTAAGAAATACCCAAGGCGTTAGTTCTAACAGCCACTTTACAGCATAATTCTCAATTTCCAAGTGAAATATTTTGCCTTCACGCCAGCTATGAGAAACTGCTTTACATTAAAAAAAAAACCTGAAAATAAATCTTAAAAGAAAGGACTGAATGATTTAAGTCACTTTGCACATTACAAAATGCTTCTGTAATGATTTTGCAGGCCAAGTTTCAGCTAAATGAGAAATAAGATGGGGGAACTACATGGGATATAGCCTGGTGCAAATCAGCGTGGCATGCACACTAAATCACCGAATCAGAACTGTCCACACTGCCCTGCAGGTGGTTATTTTTAGGTTATCCATGAGAGAGCGCCCCTCCTTGCCTTGCGGGGAAATCCTCTGAGCAGCCACAGCAGAATAACCATTGCTGCCTGAACTAAAGGTGCAGGGAATCTTGAAAAAGGCCATTTAGCTGGGTGTGGTGGCTCATGCCTGTAATCCCAGCACTCGGGAGGCTGAGGCAGAAGCATCCTTGCACGTTCGAAACCAGCCTAGGCTACAAAGTGAGCTCAAGGCCAGCCTGAACTGCATAGAAAGACTCTGTGTCAAAAAGACAAAAAAAAAGAAAAGGTCATTTATAATTTTCTGATTGACAAAATGTACACATATACACACTGCCTCAGCTTTAACTCTGTCCTGGTAAGATAAGCTGAGGGCCCTTATTTCTGAGCCTTTACTATGAAAGCTTCTTCAAAAATCCATCTCAGCTGTGGGTACAGGCATATGCCTATAATGGAGGAGGCTGAGGCAGGAAGACTGCTGCAAGTTCAAGACCAGTCTGGGCTGCAAAGTGAGTTCAAGGCCAGCCAGAATTGCAGATTGAGACCCTGTCTCAAAAACAAAACAAAACAAAATAAAACAAAACAAAACACCATGACAACTCTATGAAATACTAAATGAAGGGATGGGAAGGGGTTACATATAGATTTAAGATGTGTTATATACATGTACTGACTCTTCATGAGGAATGTAATCAGTATGTACTGCAATTATGTACCAATGAAAGTAAAAATTCAATAAAAACAAACAAGAAGATTAAAAACAAGAAAATGACTTTTGGATTCACTATTGAGTCATTGCCCCTTACCCAGCAGAGCTGCCTTTCCAAATAGCTGGGAAAGGGAGAAGGGAGGGTTGAGCTTCAGGGCAACAAGTTGTATACCTGGGTTCTGCTCTCTGTGTGATTCTAGCAAGTCACATAGCCTCAGTTTTCGCCTCCAAAAAATGGGCAGAAGAGGCCCTAAAAGCCTTAATGTTGTTTCAGAATCAAAGGTAGTACAGAATTGTCAAGGCATTCTATAGCCATAACTGTTACCCGCACTCTGTAAGGTGTATGTAAATGCATGTGACATTCTCAGGCTGGCTTGGAGTTTGAGAATTTCAGTGTGGAGGGAGAACAGCTGTCTCACTTTGCCAGGTGCTTCCTATCCTCTTGCCTGCTATGGAGGGCTTTCCTCCTCTTCCACACAGCCCTAAAAACTCTCCAGAAACACAACACTTAGAAAGCAGGAAGTTCCCAGTCAATTCTCCATTCCTGCACAAATCACAGTGAATCCTAAGGCACCCACGTAGAGGAGCCCAGGGCTCTCTGGTTAGTGAGACGCATGCTGCCAGCCCTGTGGCTGGTCCTGCGCTGAGCGCCTAGGGGACACCTGCCCGCGCCAGCCACTCACCAGCTATCCTCTGCATCTTCATGCGCCTGGCCTGGATGCGGCCCTTGGCCAGGCGCTGCTTGGCGATGATGCAGCGGATGTGGTCTGAGAAGACGAAGGTGGCCTGGAGAATGGGGAAGGGCTTGGAATGGGGGCTGGACGCAGGTTTGTGGATGGTGATGTTCAGGGCACGGCTGTCGTCCTCCACACCAGTCACCTGCATGTCCTGCACAGAGATGAGGCAAAGGCAAGGTACTTGTTAGGCTTGGCAGGGGGCAGATGCTCAGGAGCTGTAACATCTGTGTCTCATCTAGAACAACTGGCAGAAAAGCCCAGGTTCAGTGGGAGAAGATTGGGTGGGAAGCAGAAACACTCAAAAGGTGTCAGTGTGAGTTATGGCAGCTGGGTCCTTTCCATGAGGACTTGGTAAATAAAAGGCAACATCAGCTTCTTCAAGTGGCTGCTGATAACTCAATAGGCAAACTCCAATTCTCACTACTGAGAAGCCAGATATGATGAACCAAAAATTCCTATCACCATCTGGGATGATCTTAGATACAATCACTTGTTTCTCTTAAGAATATGGTATTGCTGGCAGCTTTTTGGATGTCTCTAAGGAACTTCTAGGAAAACACTAAAGGAAAGGGACAAGGAGAGAAGAGATTTTAAGAAAGCTGCTGGGAAGATACTAAGTACAAGAATAGCTGGGTCAAATCAGTCCTCTAGCCCTAGACTTTGAGGAATCTCCATATTAATTTCCACAGTGGTTGCACTAGTATACATTCTCACCAACAGTGGAGAAAGATTCCTTCATCTCCACAGCCCTGTCAGCATTTGTGATTGGTTGATTTCTTGACAATAGACATTCTTTCTGAAGCAAGATGGAATCTTAGCACTGTTTTAATTTGCATTCCTCAAATGATCAGCGATGAGGTCCCATTTGACCCAGCTATTCCCCTGCTTGGTATCTTCCCAAGAGAATTAAAAGCATTATACCACAGTGATATATCCACACCCATGTTTATAGCAGCACAGTTATTTAATAGCTGAATCTTGGAAACAGCCCAAATTCCCGTCAACGAATAAATGGATTAAAAAAGATGTAGTTTTTATAAAATGGAATACTACTCAGTTAAAAAATAAGTGACACATTCATATGTAAGTGGACAGACCTTACCATACTATTAAGTGAAATAAATCGGACAGACACACACACACATATGTGTGTGTGTGTGCGTGTATATATATATATATATATATATATATATATAGTACTGTCTCTCTGGTATGAGAAACTGAAAGTGTAGCTAAGAACAAATATGTGTAATAGATATTATGAAATAGGAAGAAACTGTCCAAAAGGAAAGGGGACTTGAGGGGATGGAGGAAGAAAGGAAAAAGAAAATGAGAAAAGAAGAATAAAACCGAAACAAAGCTTTGTAAATAAAGAGGGGAGGAGGGCTTGAAGGAAGGGGAGGGGAATGGGAAAAAAAGAGTCAAGATAGACATGTATAGGTGCAAATGAATGGAATGATGAATACGATCATTATATATATCTAAACTGTACCAAAAAACTTAATAAAAAAAAACTTCATGTGAAAAATACAGATGACACTGACATGAGCAAGTCTAATAAAAAAAAATCTCAGAATGGATTCTGTAGAGAGAATCCAGCTCCCACAAAGGTTCAAGGTGATGTGAGATAAAAGCAATAGACAAGAGATAGACAGAAAGTTCAAAAAGACTACAAGAAGTGGGGAAAATGTTGAAGAAGGCTTAGAAAGCAAGATGGTTGTGGTCCTTAGACATGGCAAATGGCACTGGTTCTCTGGAAACAACGCCTACATCGGAACATGGCTGTGAGAGCTAAACGAGGTTATTAGGCATTTACAGCAGGAATGTGGTGCACAGTAACAACTGAAAAAAGTAGCTATTGGAATATGACCAAACAAGAGAGAAAGGTTTATGTGGCTTTTATTGTCTGACAGACGACATCTATTAATCCTCTGAGGGACACTAAACACTTTCCTGACACTAAATTCTAAAGAAAATTAATCATAAGCCTAGACAAATAAGAAATGTAGGTCTCCTAATGGACAATGTCATGCATGGGAGTCTTTCTTTAAATGAAAGATCCTAAAGTTGCTTCTCTTTGCCCTCTGAAAAGATACCATTAAACAGGAAGATCCTGACAAAGAAGAGAGCAGGGAAGAGGCTGCTTTAGAATCTTCAAATCATGTGGGTGGTTTTCACAGATAGCAAGACCTGGACAGCCGGGCATGCTGCAGAAAGGCAGAGGAGGATCAGAATCCAGAACTACACAGCGAGGAAACAGATGACTTCAAAGTATGCCAAGCCCCAGGCTAGGACAAGCTTGAAAAGAATTCAGGGACCACGGGTATGGCAGAGATACGGAGTGGACGGGACTTCTCTACCCTTCTGGTTCTTTGTTTCATTCACCACCTGGTTGGAATTTGTCAAGCATCATTTAATAAACATTAAAAAGTCCCAAGCTCCAATCTGGTGTTTAGCAATTCAAAGCTTTTCTTTATTGGTGAGGGGGTAAGAAGAAGGGAATTCTTATAAATCATTATAGAGAGTAAATTGGCAGTATTTGTTAACACTTAAAATAGGCACATCCCAGTTGCTTGATTAACTGCCTAGGGAAATCCTGCCCAAGCACATAAGGAAGTAAGAACAATTTCATTTGCTGCAGGACTGTATGGAAAAATAAAAGGTTGGGAACAGTCAATGGGGCTCTGGTCAAACAGGCTTTGGTACAGTCATTCCAGCAGTGGGCATGTACTGATGTGGTTAGCTTTCCAAGGCATTCTAGTGAGTGAAGGAAAGCAAGGCTTAGAAAGTGTGATACCATAAAAGGTGCACACACATTCTCAACTATATGTATAGTCATCCTTGGTATCCAAAGAAGAGTATTTCACCACCCCCCAAGATACCAGAATCTGCATATGTCCAAGTCTTTTATATAAAATGGCACAGTATTTGCATATAACCTATGCACTTACTATCTTAAACTTTAAATCACCTCTAGATTATTTATAATACCTTTTATTTTATTTTATTGAAGTACTGGGGACTGAACCCAGGGAGCGCTGAGCTACATCTCCAGTCACTTTTTATTTTCAAATATGGTACGTATCACTATGCTACCCAGGCAGGCCTTGGACTCATGATCCTCCTGCATCAGTGCCTTCAGTAACTGGGATTATAGGTATGCACCACCTTGTGCAGCACTTAAAATGTCTAATACACCAAAAATGCGATATAAATATTATTTAGAAAATAATAATGTTAAGGAAAAAAAGTCTGCATATTCAGTACAGGTTCAATTTTATTTCAAAGATTTTGATCTATAGTTAGCTGACTCTGCAGATGTGGAATCTGTAGATATAGGGGGATGACTGTATACAACTTAAAACTACAGTATATGTAATTATAATTCTATACATATTTGGCAGAGAAGCAGATCTAAAAGATCAGCCTGGTAATGGAGTCTCTCTCTGTCTTTCTCTCTCCTTCCCTTTTGCTCTCCCCTCCTCTCCTCTCTCTTTCGTTTTCTCTACTTTTCAGTACTGGGGATCAAACTCACAACCTTATGCTTGACAGGCAGGCACTCATGCCGCTGAGCTATATCCCAGCCAGTTTCCCTTTTGAGACAGGGCCCTGCTATGTAGTTCAGACTGGCCTTAAACTTGCAGGGGTCCTCCTGCCTCAGCACTGGAAGTTACGTTTTATAGAGGAAAGGAGGTGTAAGGATTGAGGATTTTGGTGAAAGCTGACCTTTTTTTCAGGGTTGGGGGCTGAATCCAGGGCCTTGTATATCCTAGACAAACTCTCAAATACTGAGGTTTATATCCAGTCTACATTCCTTTTTTGAGACAGGGTCTAAATTGTCCACACTGGCCTCACACTTGCAATCCTCCTGCTTCAACTTTCTGAATAGCTGAGATTACAGCATGTGTCAGCATGCCTAGCTATGGTTTAGGCTTTTTTTCAGTGGCAATTTATTCATATATTTCTTATTATTAGAAATGGAGGGGGATGGAAAAGAGGGAAAGAAAAAAGAATTAAGATGTGTTATATATATGCACCAACTCCTCATGATGAATGTAATGCATTTCAAACATGTACTAATAAAAATAAAATTAAAAAATAGAACTAGATTTAAATGATAATAAGTAGGTATATATGTTTGCATAACTGACTGAAAAGAGATTTAAGAGATCTTGGCTATCTTACCTGGAGAAGGCCTGCAAACTTGACTACTCCCCAGCCAAGCCGGGACACATCAGGTTCTACCAGACTCATCTGGTAAATATCAACAGCCAGGAATCGCTGGACCATGCCACCATCCTTGGTGATCACTGTGCATGCAATCAGGTCACTGTTATCTGGGAAAAGGGAACAAAAGTCAGATGAAGCCCAGTCTGGCCAGCCAGCTTCATGAGGACTCTACAGCTGCCCCTTGTTCTGCTGGGAAACAGAGCTCAGAGGTTGGTGCCTGGACTTAGAGTTACATGGAAATCATCTGTGTCCCTTTTCAGCCAGTTTTGCTGGACAGTATCTTTAGTTCTCTGGCCCTCAGAATCCTATGCTGAAGAATGGAAGTAATGCACATTCCCTCAGAGCACTATTTGTTATGACGGATCTAAAGAATAGAGCTTATTAGGCAAATGTTTACTAGATACAAGGTCCTAAATTGTACCTTAAAGATGACTATTAGTTGGGGCTGGCAGTATAGTTTAGTGTGATAGAGTATTTGCCTTGCACGCACCAAGTTCTGGGTTTGATCTCCAGCAGATAAATGACAACAACGACAACAAACCAATAGCCAGGAATCCCAGGAATATTCCAGGGCTCACATTGACCAATGGCAGTTTACAGGTATGGTGTTCAAGTCAATTAAGGAATTAAGTGATGTCAGGAAAGTCTCTGTAACAGCATCACCAATTCCCCACTTCAGTGTCTGACAACTCAGAGCCAATGTCTGTACTACATGGTATATGATCCTGGGCCAGGCATTTGGCCTCTCTCAATCCTGGTTTTCCTTCTGTGAAATGTCTCTTGTCTTGCAACATTTGGTACAATAAATGAAAACATACAGGACAAACATTTACCATTGAATCTTGGGTGTAGAAGGTCCTTGGGTATATGCTAGGTGCCTCCCTTACTTGAAAGTTACCCCCAAATTTGATGTCTTGTTCCGTACCTGCTCTTGATGATTTTGAAGTAACAAAGGATCATCACAACTACAGTCTACTTTGAGCTGTCTCTAATGGAAGTGTACTTTAAACATGCAAAAATGTTTAAACACTCAAAATGTCCCCAAATAGGGGACAAATTACATATGATATTTCTCATCAGATGAAAAAGTATATATCTATGTAAAATTTCTGTTTAATGAACTGTTAATAGGGTTATCTGGGGGGAGGAAAGTGAGAAGTGAGGGTGTGAGCATGTGTGTGAGAAATTTTAATGGGAAAATTTTCATTTTTGTTTCATGTACCATTTTGTTGATTTCAACTGTTTTATGTTTTATTTTTTTTAATCGGTACCAGGGATCGAACTCACGACTGCCTGCTTGCAAGGCAGGCGCTTATGCCACTGAGCTAAATCCCCAGCCCCGATTTCAAATATTTTACAGTAAGAAAATATTCAAGATATAGTTTTGAAATACACATTAAAAAGCCTCAACTTAAAAACCAGACTTACATGGGGGCTGGAGGTATAGCTCCATGAGTACTAGCTTAGTATTCATAAGGCCCTAGGTTTGAGCCCCAATACCGCAAAACAAAAGAAAGCATATTTACAGAAAAGTATGATAATAGAAGACATTATAAGTTCAACTGGAAAAACATGAAAAATTTAATACTGAGTTTGACACGTTTTTAAAAAAGTATTTGCTTACTATCTGTGAGGCTCTGGGTTCAAAGCCCAGAAATACCTCTCACCTCAGCACAAAAAGCCCTGTAAAAAAATATAGGTACAGAGCAATATGCCAAAATATTAACAAAAGTCTTTGTTGAGAAGAATGGGAAGGTGGTGTCTTTTTCTCCCTAATAGCTCTATCAAAATTTATAGACCACAAAATTCACTCACTTTAAGTGTATTGTGTGAGTTTTAGTAAATTTACACTCATGCATTAGGGTATTAGGTTGTGGAACACATCCATCACCCGAGTGTAAGACCTGTGCTGTGAGAGCACTTCAAACAAACATGTGGCTCAGATTTACTGAACGGAGGAGGATGGTAACACAGACGGCAACGCACATGGTGAGCTGAGGCTAGGTGTTTTTGAAGCCCCAGCCTCTTCACACTTCACTTGACTCAAAGGTGAGAGGAGAATATCTCCCTTTGCACTGTCCTGTAACTCAGTTCAGTTCACTGAGCGGTCATCTGCCTGGGATTCTGGCTTTGTGTGGGTGCTTCCAGTTCACCCTTCTGGATTCCACAGGCCTCATGTTTCCATTTCCTCTCCCAGCATGTGACACCTGGCCAGTTACCCAGCAGTAAATGCCAGTGGCAAACAGGCCTGTGTGGAATCTTCTTTCCATTCCCAACAGTCCAGTTTAGGATGCTAAAAACTTTAAAAGTATTTTATCTTGAAATTTTAGTCCTCGCTGGATGGCTTTCGCTGGATATCTAATCATCTGTATTACAAAAAATGAAAGCCTTCTTATTCATTCTAAGAAACATTTTCTTTGTGGTAGGTATGATTTATTGTCTTTATTTACTAAAAATTTTCTCAATAAGAATCTTGTCTTTTTTAAAAAATAGAACAAAAACAGTAGCCGCTTTTCCTTCCTTATTCTCCCTTTCTTCTTCCTTTTCCTCTCCTCTTTCCCTTCTCTAGCAATAGGGCAGCCTGGCTATCCCCTGGACTGGTACCTGCAGAACTCATCTGAGGGTCAGACTGGGAAAGCATAACACACGTGTTGGCAACAGTGGGGTTTACTGGATGCAGTGAGGTTTGCTGGGGACAGGCGGTTAGCTGGTAAAAATGGGTTTTTGTCAGATAACCTGACTCCCTCACAAAGCCGAGTTGGCTTAAGGGGCTTTAGGGGAAAAAAGCCCTACCACTTCCACCACAAAGAACAAAAAAGGAAGGACAAAACCCCAAAGCGGAACAGCTCTCAGAAATGTCACTGGGACATCAAAGCCCTGTGAGAACTCGGTGAGATTTCATAAGAAAACTAAGACACAGCATACCCATGAGCAGAAAGGTGCCCAGGAAGGGACCTCTGTTCTCTGTGAGCTGTGGGGGCAGTTCAGGAGAAATACAGCGACATTAACTGACTACACAAGAAAGCTGTCCTTCAGGGAAACTGAGGAAATGATGGTTTTGGATGACTGGCTTGTGGATGTCTCAGATGTCACTTTAGGGAACTTCTGAACCCTTTTGACCCTCAGTTGCCCCACATATGGGCTGGGGCATTCCTGCCTGGAGCCATGGGGACAGGCTGATCATGTTTGGGTGGCCACGGTATCCTGGGTATGTGGGGGCACACCCAGAACAGAGTTGCTGAGTGGAACCCAATAGGCACATACTTTAAAACCTCCATCTGCAGCCATTACATATGCTTGTGTGGATTTTGCTTAGAGTCAGACAGAGCCATGCAGTACACTGAGGTCCCAGAGGGACGTGGGTACGTATGGGAGGGACTTAGTGGCAGACAGTTCTGCCAGGTGCATGGCAGCCTAAGGAGCCTCCCTACTTGATTTAGAGGAGTGTTTCACTGCCAGGAGTAGGCGGTGTGAGTGACAGGTGGCACAAGGCTTCTTGGTCATCTATCTGTGCTATTTTCTAGATCTCAGTACCCTGAATCTTCTAATTCTCTTCTCCTCTTCTTAGAGGAGTGGGGCCTAGGACTCTACTAAAAATATTGCAGAAAATTATCAGAAGACAATCAGGAGAATAACTTTATGATCCAAGTAGCAAAAGATGAATAAAGAAGTGAATGTAAGGGCTGGGGATTTAGCTCAGCGGCATAAGTGCCTGCCTTGCAAGCAGGCAGTCGTGAGTTCAATCCCCAGTACCAGTAAAAACGAAAAAGACAAAAAAAAAAAAAAAAAAAAAAAAGAAGTGAATGTAAAGGATTCGTGGAGGAGGGGATGAGAACAGCCAATAAGCACACAAAGAAAGGTGTCCAGACTCATGAGAAATCAGGAACCAAATCAAAACAAGATACCATCTTCCACCCACGGGGCTGGTAGAAGTAAAAATGTTTGATAACATCAGGTGTTGCTGAGGATGCAGAGAAACTGGCATTCTCAAAAGCTGCTGGTAAAGAATACATTAACACAGCCATTCTGAAGGGCAAATTAGCATTATTTATTAAAACTGAAAGTTTCACATCCTATGACCTGGCAATTGTTATGTTCCCAAGAAAAATGTCCAGAGGTGTGGGCTAAGAGATGTGCACAGGGGTGTTGGGAGCAGCAGCATTTGCACATGTAAGGCTCAAATGTTCAGCAAACAGAGAGATCCTGAAAAAAATGTGTTCATCCTTAGATGCCAAAGTGCATAGGCATGACGAGGAATGAACTGGCTCTCCAGGTAGTTTAACAGGGCTGTCTCAAGAATACACTGCTGAGAGGAAAAGCAACGTACAAGGGAAATTTTAATTTATATGCAGTGCTCTGAATTTCCAAAGGGAAAGCAGGTATGTTATTTGCATACTTAAAAAAAATAAAGAAAAAAGTGAGTCTTTTTACATCTGGCATTCTAGGTCTTTCTGGGGCTCAGCTGAGAAGGGGACAGGCTAGGGCCAAGCTGCCAGCCATGTGGGCCCTGCCTGATCATGAAGGCAGTGAATGATCACAGAACCAGGTCAACAACAACAATAGCCTGAAAGCCTCCGACAGGATTCTAGGCGTGCAGCTGTGTATGTTTCTAACACAGCAGAGAGCTGTGCTGTCCATTTCAATCCCCACCCCACCTTCTGCTCCTGGCCCGGTGCTCACCAGGCATGAGGTACCCACACTAAGAATAAGGCTGAGAGGCTCAGGGTCCAGAAGGGAGGCTCAGGCTCCCTTTGACAGGGCTGGACTGGTCTCTGCTTTGGGGAGGAACCAACTTGGATGGAGCAAGCAGGATGACCCTTCCCCTCACATCTCCCAACACAACTCTGATCCAGGGAAGCCTTGCACGGCCCTCTCCTCCTAGGTGCTGTCTTTTGTTTTATTCTTTGGCAATCAGAGAGGATTTGCCATTTTAGTTCATTTGAAAATAATAAGGGCATCAATCTTTTTGACTAGAAATGCACATGTCCCCATTTTAAAAAGTATGATTTTTTTTTACAGTAGACAATAAATCTCTTCCATGGCACTCTCCCCAGAGACAACCACCTTGCAGAGTTCTTGTTACCCATTTCCAAGTGCTCACATAGCT